CTAACACTACGACATCACGCAACAGACAACACAAAAAAATAAAATTCCCGTACGTTGAGTCAAGCCTTAAGTACTCTCCTAAACAAAACAAATCAAAACAAAAACACAATAAATGTAACTAAGAACCTACATCCAGAAAACACAACACACTTATTCCAACAATGTACAACCGTGTCCGCACGTAGGTACAACACACTTTCAAACTCCTAGACGTGTAATGAATCCTCGTTGAACACACTGACAAAACACACACACACGCGCGCCAAAGGGGAGAGGACTGGGATAAACACAACATTCCTCAAGGAAAGGGAGAGAAGAAAAAAATACTACTAATTAAATACACGGGAATCCCCGTTAAAAATACATTTTAACCTTCTTTTATGAATCTGATCTACCCACCTGACGTAAAAAAATGTTTTTCATCTTCTTCTTTGAAAAAAAAAAAGACAGAACTGGGTCCACAATTTTTTTTAATACACAAAATACAAGCGTAGACAAGCAACCCATTTTTTTTTACCACACATGAAAATATTTCACCCGATTTTCTGTAGCGGTAATAAATATCTCAGGTAGGGGCGGGCGATACCGGGTACTGCACTGACAGTAGAATCGATACTGAAACTGAGTACGGCGGTAAATACAAATACGATAATGTGACTGGATATCACTACAAGTCTAGGATCAAGATATCGATACCAGTTAAAGATAAATTCGATACGACCCAACGGGAGAACAGAGAAGTAGAGCGGAGGTAGGGGTAACATACATAGATGCCGAAGGTAAATTTTTTGTTGTTGTTGCTAATGAGGTGTCTAGACATGACAAGATAATTAGTTGATCATATAAATACCTTTGGCTCATTAGATCTTAGCAGACGGAACAGTCTAGACCAAAGTGCAAGCCGTGAGTGGGTTTAGGGATGGTCACATAAAACCAGTTCAGTGACCTGTGAGTGAGTCTCACTGACTAGGGGGCGCCAGTCCGTTGACTTAGAGGGCGCCGTCACACTGACCTGGGGGCGCCATTAGACTGACCTAGGGGGCGCTATAACACTGACCTAGAAGGCGCTATCACATTGACTATGGAGCACAATTACAATGACCTAAGGGGCGCCACCACACTGACCCAAATGGCTCCATCACACTGACTAGAGGGCGCCATCACACTGACATAGGGGGCGTCATCACAATGACCTAGAGGGCGCCATCGATCTGAGTAGGGGGGTCACACTGGCCTAGAAGGCGTCATCACAATGACCTTCGGTGGATCGCCACCTCACATACGGGCGCGAAAATTATGACCTGTTATTACATCTTAACAGACTGAAAACAATCAAGGCTGTAAAAATACTGAACCAACTTCTTTAAATACTCATTAGCAAAGCAACTGCGCTGCTATACATATAATCATCATGGGTTACATTATCTTCTTTTATCAAGATTCACTATAGTTATGATTCTATAACAGGGGTCGGCAACCTGCGGCTCGCGAGCCGCATGCGGCTCTTTTGATATCAAGATGCGGCTCTTCAGCTCCTTAACAAATACTAATAATCTTAATAAAAAAATAAAATATTTGAAATAAAAAATTGTTAGTGGCTCTTTAAAACCAGGGAAATTTTTGAAAATTGTACCTTTTGGCTCTTCCGCTTCAAAAGGTTGCCGACCACTGTTCTATAATGCAATCACCCAATGTTTATAACTCATTATTGATCAGTCATCGAAAACTGAACTCTATACATCTTGTTAAAGATAAAAGTAATATTTACCTAGGCAAGTGAGTCATTCTAACCCTCCCACCCTCACAGACACATTGAAGATCAGATCCCGTGACTCATCGTGTGATCAGGTAGTGATACCTCACACGGTATTTTAAATGAACATAGGTTCGCCACTAGACAGAGATCTCAAACAAATGGAGCTATACGTAAAATTAAGTCATCAGTGGGTATCTGTTTTTTTTTCTCTAGTTTATGTATGTGTCACATTTTATGTCAGATATAAACATATACAGGCTCACAACACTCCCAAAATGCACAAATAACTACATTTACAACAAAACGTATTATTAGTGGACAGATCCCTTAAAAAAATTCTCACAAAAAAATTAGTTTAAAAAAGCATAAAGCCAATAAATAACAGATCTGGATTTTTTTTCATCCATGTAAAAATTGAAAATTGCTGATAGACTTCAATAATCTACTCCTATTGTACACAGTCCTTATTACATAAACTTTGAAAACCCATACTAAAATGGAGGAATACAAATGAGCCAAAAGCGCCGCGCCCCTCTCACTAAAACCACAGCACTAGACTTGAAGAGTAGGCGCTCACCTGTCAGTGAAGATAAAAAAAACAACATAAAACGGCTACCCTATCCCAGGCAGACGTCAAACTACATGTACAACTCAGCCGAGCGCGACAACTAGACGCAGAAGTCAATTTTAACGAGTTTTTAATTTCTTGCCTGGCATACATACCACGGTGTACTGAAGTTGAATTGTTCAAACATCTGGTGCTAGGCTTTGGAGAGTGTGACCTCTTCACACCTAGGGTAAGGGTCACGGTTAGGACAAGGGTCAAGGTTAGAACAAAGGTCAAGGTTAGGGCAAGGGGCAAAGTTAGGGATATGCTTTGAATAGTCCGACCTTCACGCCTAGGGTAATGACCAAGGTTAAGGTATGGATCAAGTTCAGGGCTAGACTTCGGAGAGTAGGACCTTCACAACTAGGGAAAGGATCCAGATTAGGATACGGGTCTAGATTAAGGCTAAGGAATTTTTCACATCTTGGTGAAGGTTACGGCTAGGCTAAATGAAAGATATGAAATTAAAAAAAATCGTTTTCAATTCATAATAGTTTGTGAAATATTATATACTAAGGAATAATAAGACAATAAAACCAGAAAATTAAACACAACTGAAAAAAATATATTATAACACAACCACATCAAAGCCTACAAAGGCCAACATTACAGAACAACCCCTAATCCTGGAGGCGACCCATAGCCCTCGACAACTCATTAATCAATAGTGACTAAATTTGGCTTGAGATTATGAAATTCTGGCAAGATGCTGCAAAAAAAAAAAAAAAAAAAAAAAAAAAAAAAAAAAAAAATCCTGGGTTTTGCCAGACTTGTTTTTAACCCTACTTCATATTGTGTCAAGCATTTCTCTCGGAGGTCGGCGCAATCTCCAGTGGAGGAAAAAACAAGTGCACCGTGCACCGAAGAAGCACTGAATAGAAACTAGTTTTCTGCTATTTCTTGTTGTTCAACTCATAAAGCGTTGCTTTGAAGCTCACAAGTATAACCCAGCTAATCCTTTACAATTTCTTACATGATTACGGTATAAATAAATAAATAAAAAAGAAAGTTGTAAGTAGAAGTTTAAGGAGAGAAAGAAAAAAAAAATCTACACCTCACAACTCAGCCTCTCCCCCCCCCCCCCCCCATCTAATGTGATCAAACTGGTTGGTATAAAAACATAAACCGGCATCGATTTTGTTCCCCGCCTTTTTTTGCGTTGTTTGTTTTCATAAATCACCAAAGTAATTATATCAACAGCCTCGGCCATGACGAAAATAAAAAACACAACGGTCTACGCATGCGCAGAATAGAAAAAACAACAACACTGAGTGAACTCATTCTCGTCTAAATAAAAGAGGATATGACATTAACGATGTAGTAAAACTTAATATTATTTTTTAATTAAAAAGTAAATTACACGGAAGATTACCTAAGCTTATCAACTATTATGGTAGGATTTTAAAAAGTTTTTATTAATTAAAAAAAAATGTTTTTTTTTTTTTTGCCATTTTTAAAAAAGATTTCTATTGTAATTATTTTTTTTTCATTCACGGCCCCATGGAGAGCAAGGGCTTTGGTCATACCTCTATTATAAGTAGTACTACATATTATTTTCAGCTGTATGCGTCGTTCACAAATAAATCTATCGGTAACATAGTTTTCTTTTATTAAGTTACTTTACTAAGATTTAGCTAGAAAAATAAACGTATCCGTTGTATTATAGCATGTCAGTGCATATTGTTGTACGGCAGATTAAACTTGCACAGTGATGTTTATGCGTTGTGTATCTCATTAGTAGATTTGATTATTCCTCAACAATTCATGTTGTTTAAGGGAGGCAACATCAGAATTTGAAGAAATTAAATTTATTTGAGTTGTCTTTCTTACTTACCTTTGCGTATAATACAACTACCCTGGTCACACAGAGTGGGATGCAACAAGTGTTGGGAACGTGTACATATTTGTTTGGAAGTGTATGTGTACATAAAAAAAGAATGTGTATATATATATTTAATTGGAATGTCAACATATGTATCGGAATGTGTACATAAATAATAAATAAGAATGTGAATGGGTATGGGAAAATAATGAACAGGAGTGTGTAGGTGTTGAATAGGCTGGTATACTTTGTATTCTTACATATAAATGCGTACATCTACTGTTATTAATCATGTACATTAATGTGTATGGCTAAACTTTGATGTTACAAATGATATGGCGTGTGTCAAACCGCACTATGGAGTCACGTTAACAAAATAAATAAATACAAATGGTATCTGCAGTGAGATTTATGTAAATAGTAATTACAACAGTAGTTATAGTATCCTCACAAGTTAAAGACAATTACAGGCAGTGGCGTAGCGAGGTCGGGTGTCACCTGGTGCGGCACTTAATGGTGTCACCCCCCCCCCCTCAAATTTTTCTCTATATATTTTACTATTTTATGCCTTGGTGTCACACTTCTAAATGGTGTCACCCAGTGCGGTCCGCACCCCCCGCCCCCGCCCCCTCGCTACGTCTCTGATTACAGGTAATTCTCTTTAACTTGCAAGTACACTAACACTACCTGTGTAAAAACTACGCAGTCGGTACTCTAAAGATACTCTAGCACTTGAATGAAACTGTGAGTCAATGTCCTACTGTATAGGTGAGTATGTGCACAGAAGGGAGAGGACACACACGTGCAGTACTCACGTTGAGTAAGGCCACAAGTTTGGAATCTTGGAAGACTTGGTCGAGGAAGTTGGTGTGCTGCTGGCTGTGAGCGCAGTCGGTCAACAGCTGGATCTCCTCAAGGGAGTCAAGCACCTGGGACACTGCTCCTTGGTGGAAGAGAAAACAAGACTTGTCCCCCTTAGTTCCTGCTTAGGCATGCATTGCATTGCTACTTTGGTGGATAAAGTAAGACATATTGCATATAACCCATGCATTCTTTCATTCTTTAATTATTTGTGCTTAAAGTAACAATTCTCCCTTAGAATGTTTAGGCATGCATTTGCATTGCTACTTTGGTGGATAAAGTAAGACTATAACCCATGCATTCTTTTAATAATCGTTTGTGTATATAATAACAATTATCTCCCTTAGACTGTTTAGGCATGCAGTGCATTGATACTTAAGTGGATAAAATACCAAATATCGCCCATAATCCATTTCATTTCATTCATAAATATGGGTAAAATAACACATATACACGTACACATTCCGTTAACCATTTATGGAAAAGTAATAATGATGATCATGTTGATGCAGGCATTAAATAGATACTTAGTGAATCAAATAAAACTATAGCGTTCGATTCATTAAATAGATAAATTATTGGTGGATAATGTATGAATTATTCCTCTTGAAGTATACTAAAGCATGCATTGGTCGGAATTGTTTTTAACATCATGTATTGAAAAAAATAATATTTAAAAAACGTTATTTCTTTTATTTGCATGCTTTTTAATTTGATAAACTGGACCCAAAATCTTAACGTTAATTCGATAGTGGTAAACTATTTTTATACATGTTGGCTTTTGTAAAAACATATACACTACTGATTGTGCAACATAATTAGTTGTTAAGAGAATGTAGTCATGCACAATGTACGTTTTGTATTTGAAAGATGCAGTATGTGTTTGTGTATGTAATCAAGCACAGAATGTAAGCTATGTACATGAAGGGTGGAGTATGTATATGAAGGGTGGAATATGTATATGAAGGGGGAGTATGACTATGAAGGGGGGAGTATGACTATGAAGGGTGGAGTATGACTATGAAGGGTGGAGTATGTATATGATGAGTGGAGTATGCATATGAAAGGTGTAGTATGTATATGAAGGGTGTGTAGCCTATATCTATGAATGATGGAGTATGTGCTGACATGTAATCCCGCACACAATGTAAACTATGTATGTGTGGGATGGCATATGTGCTCATGTATGTAAAGTATGAAGTAAGCGCTTACCAGCTGAGGTGACATCATCATCCTCCGGGGGTGAAGGGTCATTGTAAAAACTTGTCCACTTCGGACTAGCCACAGCAGCCATAATAGCCCCCTGTGGTAGACAAACACATGGTTAATTAGTTAGATTTAATTAATCTAAAACAGTAACTTTTGAGACTGAAAATCAGATAAATAAAAAAAAAAAGTAAATACGGTTTCTTATGAAATCAACATAATTTTAAAAAAATTGGTATCATTAATCATTCTAAAATATACATTTATACACAATATGACGCTACATATGACAATGTATAATGTGGTGATTATTGTAATACAGACAGTATGTGAGACAGGTATTTAACAACTCACTTTAAGCTTTCTCCTGGAATTAAATTTTTTCAACTCGTCTACAGTTTCATGCAGGTGATTCCTTGGTACATCTTTTTTACACTACAGCAAAATAAGAAAAATAACTAAGTTATAAGTTATAAATAAGTCAAAACCAGAAGATATCGCCCCCACACAGTCATATATTAAAAGAGAATTGAAAAAAATCTTATGGTAACATTAGGCGTGGCCTAATGGTAGTAAGCTAGACTGCTAACCCAAAAGTCCTGAGTTCGAATCTGGGTTTAAAGTCAGTAGAATGTCACTAAGTCTACCCAGCTCATGTTAGGGAAACTAAAGGCGGTTGGGTATAGTGCTGACCACACTATCCCTTCACATGTCAAGGTCTCTGAAACAGATGAACTCTACTTCATCTGTTTTATATGTCTTGAGCATGAACAGGAAAAGATGACGATGGTAAAATAGAAGTGGAGTACTTGTAGACAATAAGGGTGTCAGGAAACAATGAGATCATGTTAAACAATATTAACAAAGAATAAATACTCCTTATGATAAGTATTCCTGTAGACCCCATTTAAGCATATCAACCCTACAACACCTCTCTTACAGATGTAGTATTTAGAAATTCCCTAACCTAAATTGCCTCAACTATCAATCTTTTAAAGGCAATTTAAAAACCAAAATTAAACATTTATGTTACTGTAATGTATTGTCCGTTTCAAAGTATGATTTAAAATCTAAATAATAATCTTATCACAATACAACACTAATAATTATTTTAAAATATTTTAATAGCTAATTAATAATTCCAGCTGTATTAGTTAAAATCTATTTTGATTGTTTATTTTTATTTCTAATCATGGAGTTGACATTTTGATGAGAAATTTAATACAAATGCCAGATTGTATTTCTGATAAACATCTGACTTCCCCCCAGCTAGGGGCATTGATTGTTTAGTCCCCCCCAGCCTTAAGAAACAAAATTCCATTATCCATATCCATCCACCTTTATCCACGGATGCTCTAATGCTTGCTCCACTGTTATCCTCTTCTCTGGGTCTTTCTCTAAGAGTCTTTGCATGAGTTCTCTCCCTGCTGGAGATATGTGGTCCCATTGCTTTGGTTTCATCTGAAAAAAAAACAAACAAAAACAACCAATATTTAATGATTAAAACCCCATACAGAAGAACCATTCTTTCATTAAGACAAATTTTAATTTTTAAAACTCTATATACTCATATATGATTCTTTTATTAAGACAAATTTTGATTTTTAAAACTCTATGCAGAAATACCTTTCTTTTTAAATTTTAAAACTCCATACAGCAATACCTTTCTTTAATTAAGATAAAATTTGTATGCTTAAAACTCCATGAAGGAATAGCAGTCTTTCATCGAAGAAGCAATACCATTCTTCCATTATAGAAAATTTTTATTTTTAAAATTCCATGCAGAAATACCTTTTTTTTTTAATAGCGAAAAATCAATGTTTAAAGCACCATACAAAACACCTTTCTATTATTACAAAAAAAATTGTGTATGGAGATTAAGTCTTATGGGCCAGTTCATTGTAATTTATAAAATAAACATCAATAAACATATTTAAAAATTCCTATTCAAGGATAGGCTAATCTAAGGAGCAGAAAAAAAATAAAATGTAAATTAAAAAAAAAATAAAACGATCTAGGCCATTGAAGGCTTAAAAAGGTTACCACCTTAGTTTAGGGCTATAAAATATTCTTAATCCATTTTGCATCACAAAAATAAACTATCAGAAAAAAATTAAAAGAAAAACTGCAGCATTACATCAAGGGATGTAATCATAATAATGAAAATTTCTTCCATAAAAAGACCAAATTTGGTTGTTAAAATTGCTCATCTTCAATGCTTGATTAGATCCGTTAAGAAAAAAAATAAAAATGGGCTTTTTTATCGCTTTATTTTATATAACCTTAGAGCTAATCCATTTACGGGGTTTATGAGAGGAGGTAAAGGGGAGAGGTAGGTCAAAATTACAAGTTTTTTTTGTTTGTTTGTAGGCCTACGTCAAAATAACTGAATTATTACGTGTGAATTCTAAGGCCAGGACTTAAGGTCAATAAGTCGTAGGGTGCTTAAGTCAGTTTTAACTTTCTTGCTAGTTCTAGACCAGGGACTTACGGTCAATAATTTATAAAGTGCTTAAGTCAAGTTTTATTTTCTTGCTTTTCCTTTAAAGTTAATTAGTTCTAGAACATTTATATTTAGGAATAGATTTTTCTATTTAATTATCAAACACTTCACCCAGAAGGGAAACTGAAAATAAACTGATCTTTTAAAAAAAATAATTGTTTAAAACACTTTTGTAGTTAACCAAAATTGTTATAAAAACAAAACAAAAATGCACCATTAATAAGTGTAGCCATTACTATTGCTCAGATAACTGATGTTTGACAGTAAAGTCTAGATCAAGGATAGCAGCGTCTATAACGTAAATTATGTCTCTAATTTACTACAGAAATAAAACATGCCCGTAACTTAAAGATGAAAAAACCTAAAATACCACACAAGGGTATGTAACTCACAGGATAATTGCCCTTGACAATAATTTCATACAGCCTCTCCTTGGTGCCACAAAAAGGGGGATAACCCCCCAGCAGTATAAACAAGAGCACCCCACAGCCCCACATGTCTACCGGCTTTCCGTACGGCTTCCGGTCTATGACCTCCGGCGCCATGTATTGCGGAGTGCCCACTCGACCTGAAAAAAAAAAGAGAAAAAACAATTTTTTTTTTAATTGCAGTAAAAAAAGAATATTTCCAATTGTTTCCCCTGAAAAGCAAAAACAAAATTGCTTAGGCATCCACGTGAATGCAACCTAATTAAATACATGTATATTATTTAATGAGAAAAAGGAAAAAATAGAAAACAAAAACTCCCCAATTTTCTATTTAGAAAACCAAACCTTTGATTAAAAAACATATGGAATAGCAGGTAATTATAATTTAGATATTTCCACAAAACAAATTGAATTTATTTAAGATAAATAAATAGACATGATCCAAATAACAAATGAAAATACATTATGTTTTCACATTATAGTTTTTAAGCGTAATTACTTAGCATGGAAAAAGCTAATTAAACGATTGAATTGCTTGGAAATCTAATGCGAATTTTTATAATTATGTAGTCTATATGAAACAAAACTGATTTTACCGTTAATTTCATGTAAGGGTTAATGTGTTGATGGTACAGGAATGGTCACAAAAAGTTACCCCCCCCCCCCCCCCATCTCCACACACACACAATATCCATATTTAAAACATTTTTTGTTAAACCAGCAATTCTGTCTAAAATATCAAATTAACTCGTCCAACATTGAGCAAATTTATCTATTTTTCCCCCCACATTTACAAAATGCTTTTAAAGATTTCGAAAAGAAAAATCTTCAAAAAAAACCTCAATTTAAAATGCAAATGTAACGTCAAACTTCCTGGGCTCTCCTCACAGGGGCCCGGACGCACCCACCCACCCCCGAGTGTGACGACATTTACGGACGACATTTTAAGGCTATTGAGTTGGAAGCAACTATGACATAGGCTGCTAGTGTGTTTGAAGTCATTAAGTAAATCTAGTGACGTCAGGGTCAGTAAAACTGGACATCAGTAGTGGAATCGATCGTATTTTGGGTGGGGGGGGGGGCGGCTTTATCTAATGACTCCTTACTCTCTGCTCCACCCTATCCCCTCCAATCTCACCAGATGTTTCTGGCTTAAAGAGGGTAGAAGCGCACCTTCCCCACCTCGCTAACTTAACGCGAGCCACGATCGAGTTTAAGGTTTGGATTAATTGAAATTAGATTTGAAATATTTAAAAAAGCAATCAATTAAAAAAGAATGATCATTATCTTAATTAAATCTGACTTTTTGTTCTAATTAGCGCGAGGTGGAAACGTGATGGGCCAGTGTTGTTATTGTTTGGCTTGATTCGTTTCCTTGACATTCAGGTTACAAAATATAGTTGGAAATTTCCCAGTAGAAGGTGGATTGGCAACTTAATTAAAGCAATGATGGGAGATTTGTATTGGGTAGGTCATTCGCTGTGTGTGTACGTTAAGTCCACCCAGCTCTGATGGGTACCTGACTCTACTCCACCCTGCTCTGATGGGTACCCGACTCTACTCCACCCAACTCTGATGGGTACCTGACTCTAGTCAACCCAGCTCTGATAGGTACCTGACTCTAGTCCACCCAGCTCTGATGGGTACCTGACTCTAGTCCACCCAGCTCTGATGGGTACCTGACTCTAGTCTACCCAGCTCTGATGGGTACCTGACTCTAGTCCACCTAGCTCTGGTGGGTACCTGACTCTAGTCCACCCAGCTCTGATGGGTACCTGACTCTAGTCTACCCAGCTCTGATGGGTACCTGACTCTAGTCCACCTAGCTCTGGTGGGTACCTGACTCTAGTCCACCCAGCTCTGATGGGTACCTGACTCTAGTCTACCCAGCTCTGATGGGTACCTGACTCTAGTCCACCCAGCTCTGATGGGTACCTGACTCTAGTCCACCCAGCTCTGATGGGTACCTGACTCTAGTCCAACCAGCTCTGATGGGTACCTGACTCTAGTCCACCCAGCTCTGATGGGTACCTGGCTCTAGTCCACCCAGCTCTGATGGGTACCTGACTCTAGTCCACCCAGCTCTGATGGGTACCTGATTCTAGTCCACCCAGCTCTGATGTATACCTAACTTCCACCTAACTCTGATTGACTCTACTTTATCTGCTCTACACAATGTTAGTTCATAGATCCGTACTTTCTTAAATACACTTTCAGAAACTGAGAATAGTACTTTGAGGTGAGAAAGGTAATTTGAGTTGAGAGAGGTACTGTGAGGTGAGAGAGGTGAGAGAGGTACTGAGAGGTGAGAGAGGTGAGAGAGGTACTGTAAGGTGAGAGAGGTGAGAGAGGTACTGTAAGGTGAGAGAGGTGAGAGAGGTACTGTAAGGTGAGAGAGGTGAGAGAGGTACTGTAAGGTGTGAGTGGTGAGAGAGGTACTGTAAGGTGAGAGAGGTGAGAGAGGTACTGTAAGGTGAGAGAGGTGAGAGAGGTGAGAGAGGTACTGAGAGGTGAGAGAGGTGAGAGAGGTACTGTAAGGTGAGAGAGGTGAGAGAGGTACTGTAAGGTGAGAGAGGTACTGTAAGGTGAGAGAGGTACTGTAAGGTGAGAGAGGTGAGAGAGGTACTGTGAGGTGAGAGAGGTGAGAGAGGTGAGAGAGGTACTGAGAGGTGAGAGAGGTGAGAGAGGTACTGTAAGGTGAGAGAGGTACTGTAAGGTGAGAGAGGTACTGAGAGGTGAGAGAGGTGAGAGAGGTACTGTAAGGTGAGAGAGGTGAGAGAGGTGAGAGAGGTACTGAGAGGTGAGAGAGGTGAGAGAGGTACTGTGAGGTGAGAGAGGTGAGAGAGGTACTGTAAGGTGAGAGAGGTACTGTAAGGTGAGAGAGGTACTGTAAGGTGAGAGAGGTGAGAGAGGTACTGTGAGGTGAGAGAGGTGAGAGAGGTACTGAGAGGTGAGAGAGGTGAGAGAGGTACTGTAAGGTGAGAGAGGTGAGAGAGGTACTGTAAGGTGAGAGAGGTGAGAGAGGTGAGAGAGGTGAGAGAGGTACTGAGAGGTGAGAGAGGTGAGAGAGGTACTGTGAGGTGAGAGAGGTGAGAGAGGTACTGTAAGGTGAGAGAGGTGAGAGAGGTGAGAGAGGTACTGTAAGGTGAGAGAGGTGAGAGAGGTACTGTGAGGTGAGAGAGGTGGGAGAGGTACTGTGAGGTGAGAGAGGTGAGAGAGGTACTGTAAGGTGAGAGAGGTACTGTAAGGTGAGAGAGGTGAGAGAGGTACTGTAAGGTGAGAGAGGTACTGTAAGGTGAGAGAGGTACTGTAAGGTGAGAGAGGTACTGTAAGGTGAGAGAGGTGAGAGAGGTGAGAGAGGTACTGTAAGGTGAGAGAGGTACTGTGAGAAGATGAAGACGATAAGAAAAGTAAGGGTAGTTTAGAGAAAAGACGAGACTTTAGAGTAGAGAATGATATACTAGATAGATAGATAGATAGATAGAGAGAGAGAGAGAGAGAGAGAGAGAGAGAGAGAGAGAGAGAGAGAGAGTATTATTCAGAGAGGTTCCCAGAAAGAAGCGCAACGGAAAAAAGCGCAACGGAAAAAAGCGCAAAACAAAAAGCGCAACGGAAATAAGCGCACACGGAAAAAAGCGCAAAGAGAAAAAAGCGCACACGGAAAAAAGCGCAAAGAGAAAAAAGCGCAAAGAGAAAAAAGCGCAAAAAGAAAAAAGCGCACACAGAAAAAAGCGCACACGGAAAAAAGCGCACACGGAAAAAAGCGCAAACAGAAAAAAGCGCACACGGAAAAAAGCGCAAAGAGAAAAAAGCGCAACGAGAAAAAAGCGCAAAAAGAAAAAGCGTACACAGAAAAAAACGCAAACAGAAAAAAGCGCAAACGGAAAAAAGCGCAAACAGAAAAAAGCGCAAACGGAAAAAAGCGCAAACAGAAAAAAGCGCACACAGAAAAAAGCGCAAACGGAAAAAAGCGCAAACGGAAAAAAGCGCAAACAGAAAAAAGCGCAAACGGAAAAAAGCGCAAACAGAAAAAAGCGCACACAGAAAAAAGCGCAAGCAGAAAAAAGCGCACACAGAAAAAAGCGCAAACGGAAAAAAGCGCAAACAGAAAAATGCGCAAACAGAAAAAACAACGAAAAATGTGCAAAAGAGAAATTTAGCACAAATACCTATATCGACTAGATGACACATTTATACATGACTGTTAGGGCTGCTGTAAGAGTGTCGTGTTTGATCACGTGATCTACTACCATTTAAAGCGTACCACTACCATGTGCATTCCCCTCACCACGATACAGGCGATAATCGCTTTACACAATGCCTATTATTTTCTTGGTCAATAATTATTCAACTACTATTCTCGTATAAATAAACATAAAACTATCCTTGATATCGACATTACACGAAGTATCTCTCACATTCTCCCTAGTCCGAACTACCTAGCTTGCATACCATAACTACCCGTTCCTATGGCAAAACTTCACTCTCTTTCATCCGCGTCATCTAACATGCATTCGTCATATCTCTCATATCTCTCGCAACAACATTCATTCGCACCAAAATAACAATTATGTATTTAACATTATTTCACATCATGACGCACTTACCTACCTACCTACTACCTACCTACCTACCCACCTACACGCTTACCCACCTACCCTCTTACACACCTACCTACCTACCTACCCACCTACCCACTTACCCACCTACCAACTTACCCACCTGCCCACTTACCCACCTACCCACCTACCCACTTACCCACCTACCCACCGAAAAAGGATCGGCGAAGTTCGTTAGTTTCGTAAACTGTACTTTTTTTTAATGAAAATTCATTGATATCATTGACATATGTTACATATATGTTACATTTTGCGACAATCTTAATTAGTGCGTTGGGCTTGTATGAAAACTCACTTCGAACTAACTCAATTACATGCTATTTATTTTAACATTAAACGGTAAGCGTCACCCAACTGGTGTGATGTGAGGACAGGTTCGACAATAAACCAACACGAAAGAGACATAGACTGCCTGTTAGAGAATGGACCCCCTAACTTTCCTAACCCCACCATTTATTATACCCTACGTAACCTCTAAATTTCTTGCGCTATATGTCACTTCCCTCCCAATCGTTCCTATTCTACAGAATTGTGTGTACTATATATTTACATTCTTTAATCTCAATATAACTAAAATAGACTATTGTTTGAAGGGTAATGAAAACATGTAAACATACACTTTTACTAGTGTCCGCCCCCCCCCCCCCGAAAAATGTTGACCCCCCCCCCCCCGAAAATCCCCTTCCCCCCCCTTAGCCCCGGAGAAAAAAGTCTGGAAGAAACACTGCATGTAGCCTATATAACAGAAGAGCTATGGTTGTTTATATCATTTTGCATTCGTCCGGTAAACCTTTCAGTAAAAAAACCTTAAAAAAACCTTCCAAAACCTTTTTATAAAGAAACAAAGAGAGATGAAGTTTTATAATAACATCAGGCTTTGGCTTACACCTACTCCAATATCATCTACATTGTTAAACTGATTAACTATGTAATGTAGGGCTCAACAGGATCAATGAACTAACCTTACGCCAAACCAGTTTGAAATTTCGAGTTTTGTAACACTGTTACTAAGCTAGCAAAATGGAAATGTGCATAATCTATATCATATACACAAACACCCAACCACCTACCTAACTACCCACCCACACATCTACCCACATACCCACCTAACAACCTACCTACCCACCCACTTACCCACCTACCCATATATATATATATATATATATATATATATATATATATATATATATATATATATATATATATATATATATATATATATATATATATATATATATATATGTAACTAGGGGAAGTTACCAGAGACATAAGAACGCAGTACAGCGCTGTCAACTTTGACACGACTGATGCAATAACACAGGTGTTGGCTGATAACGATCAGAAAGCCAAGGCGTAGTATCTTGGGAAGCGATACGATAAGAACGCAATACGGTCTATCAACTTTGATGTGACAGGATGCAGATGGCTTATTAAATCGGACTGTACGACAGAAGCGGCGTAATTAACATTCTGATGCAACGATTAGAATCGATTACGATTACGATTATGATAGAACCGAATACGATTACGAATACGAAGGGGATATATAGGAAGGCGACGGCTGAGCTCGCGGTCGGTGGGGCTCTCTCTCTCGATCAGTCAGTCAGTGTGGCAGTATCAAGTTGGTTATTGAACGGGTTAGCCGTATTGTGTTAAGAAGGACGATAGACATGTGCATTCAGTTATGTGAAGACTAGTGAGGACTGTTGGGGGTCAGTTGATTCAGACTATTATTGTGAAGCATTCCTTTTGATTCATTATATTATTGTGAAGCATTTCTTTGATTCATGTAATAAAAGGATCAATAGCGAACCTGCATCTTCGAGTATCTATACTGTGGTCGATGTTGTGAAGAATGAGTGGTTAGACTCGGTAACATTTGGCGTTGTCGAGCAGAACTCGTTAACATTTGGCACTACAGGCAAATAGTCTCGTTACATATATATATATATATATATATATATATATATATATATATATATATATATATATATATGAGGTAATTAGATAGGTGGGTAGGCATGTAGGCAAGTAGGTAGGTAGGCAGGCAGGCGGGCAGGCAGGTTGGTAGGCAGGTAAGTAGGTAGGTAGGCAGGTGGGCAGGCAGGTTGGTAGGCAGGTAAGTAGGTAGGTAGGCAGGTAGGTAGGTAGGCAGGCAAGCAGGCAGGCAGACAGGTAGGTAGTCAGGCAGTCAGGGAGGGAGGAAGGTGTTGGGAGGGAGGGAGGTAGGTAGGTTGGTAGGTAGGTAGGTGCGTCATAATGAAATAATGGTAAATAAATCGTTGTTATGATGTGTGTTTTGGTGCGAATGAATGTTGTTGCGAGAAATATGACGAATGCATGTTAGATGACGCGGATGAAAGAGAGTGAAGTTTTGCCATAGGAACGGGTAGTTATGGTATGCAAGCTAGGTAGTTCGGACTAGGGAGAATGTGAGAGATACTTCGTGTAATGTCGATATCAAGGATAGTTTTATGTTTATTTATACGAGAATAGTAGTTGAATAATTATTGACCAAGAAAATAATAGGCATTGTGTAAAGCGATTATCGCCTGTATCGTGGTGAGGTGGTGCGCTTTAAATGGTAGTAGATCACGTGATCAAACACGACACTCTTACAGCAGCCCTAACAGTCATGTATAAATGTGTCATCTAGTCGATATAGGTATTTGTGCTAAATTTCTCTTTTGCACATTTTTCGTTGTTTTTTCTGTTTGCGCATTTTTCTGTTTGCGCTTTTTTCCGTTTGCGCTTTTTTTTGTGTGCGCTTTTTTCTGTTTGCGCTTTTTTCCGTTTGCGCTTTTTTCTGTTTGCGCTTTTTTCTGTGTGCGCTTTTTTCTGTTTGCGCTTTTTTCCGTTTGCGCTTTTTTCTGTTTAAGCTTTTTTCCGTTTGCGCTTTTTTCCGTTTGCGCTTTTTTCTGTGTGCGCTTTTTTCTGTTTGCGCTTTTTTCCGTTTGCGCTTTTTTCTGTTTGCGTTTTTTTCCGTTTGCGCTTTTTTCTGTTTGCGCTTTTTTCTGTGTGCGCTTTTTTCTTTTTGCGCTTTTTTCTCGTTGCGCTTTTTTCCGTGTGCGCTTTTTTCTGTTTGCGCTTTTTTCCGTGTGCGCTTTTTTCTGTTTGCGCTTTTTTCTGTGTGCGCTTTTTTCTTTTTGCGCTTTTTTCTCTTTGCGCTTTTTTCTCTTTGCGCTTTTTTCCGTGTGCGCTTTTTTCTCTTTGCGCTTTTTTCCGTGTGCGCTTATTTCCGTTGCGCTTTTTGTTTTGCGCTCTTTTCCGTTGCGCTTTTTTCCGTTGCGGTTCTTTCCGGCCACCATTCAGAGAGACGGTGGCAACTTTAGAGAAGAGGGAAAGATAACTGTTAAGTGAGAGTGATATACTAGAGAGAGATAATAATTCAGAGAGGAGGGAGAGACCATGGTGTGAGAAATAATAATTAGGAATAAATGAAAGGTTGTTGAGAGAGAATGGGGGGTCAAAATAAAAGAGAAAACTACCAAAACGGGAATCAGAAACGCCCAGATGATAAAGTAAACATAAAGCTAGCCCAGAAACCAGGCATCAGACAGGTCGACGGTTGGAATAATTATACCAAGATGTCATGTATCCCTGGCACAAATAAACACAGGTCTGTGGGTCGGTGCTAATCAATATCTACCTCTTTGTCTACTGCTTGGTTAAGTTAGGGATGGTTATATTTAACCAACGCGAGAGGTGTAGTGGGTGGGGGTAGACAACCATAGTGCGACAGTCAAGGGAGGTAACTTGGTGGAACAATGGTAGGGGAGATAACAAAATAACTCGTGTTAACTTGTTGGTTTTTACCACTGTTTCTCGGTAACTATAGAATACTCAAAGGCTGAGTCGATGTAGGTGTTTGAATAGTAAAACAGTGGGCGTGATGGTGGTGTGGGGGAGACGGGGATGAGTTTAACAAATAGTGAAAGCGCGTTGTTTGTATGACTATTACGAAGTGTCGAGCTAGCCAGGGGTCTCCAAACTACGGCCGGCGAGCCCATGGCAGACTTTCCTAAAATTAAAACTTTTTCATCAAAGTACCTTTCAAATTTCGGAACAACGTAGTGTGTGAACAAAAATGTTCAAGGATGAAATACGTGAAGGATAATTTGAGAGCAAACTTGGACCTCGATTGTGTTGCTGGCCTTCAACAGTGTTTCTATCAGATTTTTTTTTCCGGGGAAGGGAGGGCACTTGAAATTTATATATATTTCTATATAAATTATATTTTGTTGGGCGGGGAGGGGGGTTAGACCTTCTTGGGGGGGGGGGGGCTCCACCCCGAAGATATGCCTTGAAGAAACCCTGGCCCCCGAACTGATATTCGATAGTTAATGCGGCCCTCTGGCTGAAAGTTTGGAAACCCCCGAGCTAGACGGTAGTCGACAGGGTAAGAGTAGTGTCTGATGTCTTTGTACCTCGCTGGTTTGGTTGTCATTTAAAAAGCTTTAAGGTGACAGCACAGAGTAAGACTCCTGTGTTTGAAGTTATGAGAAATGCTTGTCATGAAATTGTCGTCAATGAATGAGACGCGTCTCTTTGACGGCAGTGAGTAAGGGTTGCGTGTTTGACGTCACTGGGTACGGCTTGTATGTATGACCTCACTGAGTAAGGCTCGTAGGTTTGACAACCGAGGGTACTAACAGGGTTGTTTGCTACATAGTCAAAGATAGCCTGTCTAATTTCACAATGTGATACTTGTGTTTCAGTGTGTGGAAATTTTGGTTCACAATGTGATACCCGTGTTTAACAGTGCGATACGTGTGTTTCACAGTGTGATAATTTTGGTACACAGTGTGATACTTTTGTTTCACATTGTGATAGTCGTGTTTCACATTGTGATACTTGTGTGTTTCACACTGTGATACTTTTGGTTCACATTGTGATACTCGTGTTTCACAGTGTGATACTCGTGTTTCACACTGTGATAGTTTTGATTCACATTGTGATACTCGTGTTTCAAAGAGTGATGCTTGTGTTTCACAGTGTGATACTAGTGTTTCACTGTGTGAAACTTTTGGATCAAAGTGTGATACCAGTGTTTTAGTGTGATACTTGTGGTTCACTAGTGCATAGTTGGACAAGAGCTGAGCAACAGACCTGAGGTAATGAGCTGGTCATTGGGCAGTAACGTGGCCACGCCGAAGCCGCCCAGTTTGACTGGGGCCGAGTTCTCCGTGGACGCCAGAAGGATGCAGTGGGGCTTGAGGTCCCGGTGGATGATGTTGTTGGTGTGGCAGTAGCGCAGGGCCTCCAGCACCTGCCGCATGTAGTGGCTGGGGAGGGGAGGGTCGGAGTTAGGCACACACATTGGGGGGGGGGGTGTGAAACAGACACAAGGTTGGCGTTTAACAAAGGATTTCTCACTACTTACAAAAATAAACCGGGAGTGATCTCCCCTAAACTTTCTCGAATATTCTTATATAAAATAACAGGGGATGGGAACTCGGGCTATAGACATGATTTTTAATCCATTTTAAATACTTAAAGTTTTAAAAATAGAATAAAATCTCTTAGACAAATTAATTGCACACCAAGTGAACGCCAAATAAAAAAGCGCATAATAGTGCGCAATATTATTAGTACTTTTAAAATTTACATTAGTTTTTTGAGAAATCGGAAGTAGCGTAAATTACTACTTCCGGTCAACGGAAATTACTGAAAATTTAACAGAAGGTAGAGAATTAGATCTTTTACTTACATGTGAAATTTCATTTATCTATCTGAAATAGTACTCAAGTTATAGGCTTTTGAAAAAGTCAAAGTAGAAAAAGTATCATTTCCGGTTATCGGAAATCGCTCAAAAGTTGATACGGATCTACGATTTTGATAAAATACTTATATATGAAATTTCATCAACCTAGCTGTAACGGTACTCAAGTTATCGTGTTTACACACGGACAGACAGACAGACACACAGACATACGGACAAGATTGCAAAATTAAGTTTTTCCGTATCAGTGAGGTGTAAAACGTCGAGATTTGTAAAAATCTCGATTTTTTTTTTTGCACGATTACAAGACTTTCTCTATACTTCGTATATACGAGAAAGTAAAAAATAAATCAAAATATAAAACAAAAGAATTATTGTGATTTATCGTTGTGCTAAATTAGAAAAACACTAAAGATTACTCTAACAAACACTGAAGACAACTCCAACAAACACTAAAGACAACTCCTACAAACACTGACGACAACTCCTACAAACACTGAATACAACTCCTACAAACACTGACGACAACTCCTACAAACACCGACGACAACTCCTACAAACACTGACGACAACTACAACAAACACTGACGACAATTCCTACAAACACTGACGACAACTCCTACAAACACTGACGACAACTCCTACAAACACTGACGACAACTCCTACAAACACTGACGACAACTCCTACAAACACTGACGACAACTCCTACAAACACTGACGACAGCTCCAACAAACACTGAAGACAACTCCTACAAACACTGACGACAACTCCTACAAACACTGACGACAACTCCTACAAACACTGACGACAGCTCCAACAAACACTGAAGACAAACGATTCCTCCAACACAACGTTCAAGTCACCTGGCCACCGCCTCACTGTACACAAACCCTGACGACGCCCTCTTGACGATCTCAAAGCACAGGTCGGCTCCATCCATGCTGGAGATTCAAAGAAAAAAAGTAATATAAGATTTGTACAATTTCTCAGGTAACAATATTCAACTTAAAAAAAAAATTATAACAGCAAAAATAGTAACAACAGCAATAATAATAATAATTGCATTAATAATAATAACGATACAAAAAATAATAATATTAGTAAATATCAAACTGTAAAAAATTTAATTTAAAAAAAAAAAGCTTGGCATGTTTGTTCACAAGACTACAACTCGACACGGAAGAATACATTAACGTAGCAGGTAAACTACAAACATGGAGTCGAAACTACAAGCGCCAAAACAGAGATATACTACAATTGTGAAAAAAACACATTTAATATGTATAACATTACATACATATATTCTTATACATATACATGTATATATTAAAACGGCTACAAATATTACTAACGTATATTCACATACATGTATCAAAGTTAAAGGTAATATCAAGTTTAATACATATGACTAGCAAACACGCAAATGCTAATTAGCAACATCGAGGTTTTATGAAACAAAAATAAATGATACCAAGATCGAAACACAATTAAGACTAAAACACAGACACATACATGTGGGTAAGGTCCGAACAAGAAACACCAATCCAGAGGACACAACTAATCCGACAGGGCCACAACCCGTGTCTATAAACAATGCAACACAGCCCGTGGTTAGACCGACGCCAGGATGGCAAGTCAATACCGCTAGGAAAACATCCACTCGCCTATAGATCAGTGCAGTTATTACAAAAAATTACGCCAGAAGTCGGCCCGCGGTATGGGCAGGATCGAAACCTATTTGGTCGTTATTATTTATGTACATCTCAAGACTATTAAAAATAGACATTTTTTTTTCTAAGCATCCGTTTAAGGCAGAAACAGATAGTATAAATTATGAACCGAAGAATCTATAATATAAGCCGTAGGTAGTGTGTCATTCCGTCATTGGTATAGCAGTTTATGGGCAGGATCGAAAACTATTTGGTCGTTATTATTTATGTGCATCTCAAGACTATTAAAAATAGACATTTTTTTTTCTAAGCATCCGTTTAAGGCAGAAACAGATAGTATAAATTATGAACCGAAGAATCTATAATATAAAATATAAGCCGTAGGTAGTGTGTCATTCCGTCCTTCATTCCGTCATCGGTATAGCAGTTTATGGGCAGGATCGAAACCTATTTGGTCGTCATTATTTATGTGCATCTCAAGACTGTTAAAAATTGATTTTTTTTCTTCTAATCATCAGTTTAAGGCAGAAACAGATAAAATGCATGATTAACTGAAGATTGGCCTTAATACAAGCCGCTAGGTAGTGTGCCATTCCGTTTTTCATTGTATTATCGGTATAGCAACTTAGACTTTAAGAATGTTTAAAATTTAAAACGGGTACAAATAACACACACAAAGGCGCGACTCGGTACGAACTTTGTAAATGCAGTTTTTTTTTTAAAAAATGCATACCTGTGCCGTAAAACATGCTAATTTAAATTAGGGTAGGAAGTCGGAGTTGGCGTTATTTAATTAGGAGAGGGTGGACTTGGCTTGTGATTAAAAAAATGACAATAGAGAGGTGAAGGATAGACGTCTGCGTTAAAAGGCGTGACGTCACTCGTGGACGACAATCAGTACACTTACCCTAAGATCAAAAGAGTAACCAATTAACAATCCCATTAAAAAAAACAGGCACAAATAAATAAAACTATCAGCATCAAACGCCATGGTCGGCCCCATATCCAACACAACGTAATGTATCCCAACCCACAAAAATCTGGCCAAATCAATACACACACCGGCCTCTTCCGGTGATTACGAATTAGCGGTTCAATGAAGTGGAACCGTGACCAATCAATACGGCGTGGCGTGTAACCAAATCTCATTAAATCATGGACGCACTTCCAGTTAAACAGAAAGAGAAGCCAACAATCGGGTTTACATAAATAAACAGAAAAAGCCATTCGGTTTTAGGAAAAATCGAAGCGATAAATTACGGTAAAAACATCACGAATCAAGTATATGTATGCAAATACAATCCATTTCTAAGAAAAATAAATAAATCAAAAAAGCTTTTTAAAAAAAATGCAAATAACATCGTGATTTTTTCAAATAAAATAATGTAATTCAAAAAAACTAAAGTTAACTAGATGAAAAAATAAAAAAAAAAGGAAATGTCACGATTATTATTTTTAAACCAAGTGCTTAAACGAATCAGAATATAAGAAGCCAAACTGCCAGTTTATTAAAAAAAATGAAAAAGCTAATTTCTCGGATTTAAAGTTTAAAAAAAAAAAGGTTAAGATCAACTGGAGAGGAGCTTGGATGTTAAGCTCAATAGCGCAATGTAATCTTGTGAAACGTTGTTTTTTTTGTTTGTCTGCTACTTTATGCTATTGAGGTTTAGATTGATGCTGTAGTTTAAATATGGCTTAAGTTAATTTGTGTTTTGCTTGGCTGCTAGTACGAGGGTCTCGAGTTCGAATCTCGGTTCGGACTTGTGACTTTAGGACGTCCCTGAGTCCAACCAGCTATGAAGGATACCTGACTTACTTTGGGGAAAGTTAAGACGGCTGGGCATAATGCTGACCATATCATCCTTTTATATGCCGAGGTCAAGAAATATTTGAACTCTATTTCATCTTCTCGATGGATCGCTAGGTCTAACGAGAATTCTTTACTTTACTTAGGTTAGTGTTAAAGGTAATAAGACTGGGGACCAAAAATTTCTACCTGCACTGTTTGTGAGCAAGGAAGAACATAAAACTAAAGCACACAACAAGATGCTTCATACATAATAGGATTTTCCCTTTGATAATTTGTTACTATAATTATCGTATTATACCGTCAACAGGCATGTTACAAAGAACCATTCATGAATTGACAGATACATTTGTACAGATCTAGAGATAAATGTTTACTTTCTCTAAAGGTCAAACGGCAACGTCAATAAAGGCCTGGTCAGGTCAAAGGTCAAGTGGTGATTGACCGCTGGTTTTAAGAGAGTTTTTAAAGAGCTCTAATGATGATTATGCTCAGTGTTCAAAACATGGGATAATGGGAGACAAGTTAACGTTACATGATACAAACAATCCATGATACAAATAATAGATGATACAAGCATAACATGATAAAAATAATAGACGATTCAAACAATACAATATACAAATAATACATTATACAGACAATACATAATACAAAAAGTACGTGGTGTAAGAAATACAATATAACAAGAGTACGAGTTACAAATAATAGCCGATAATATGATAAAAAAAATAATGCATGATATAAAAGGTACGTGATACAAGTACTATATGATACACATAATGATACACATAATAAATTATGCAAATAATGAATGATACATTTCCGTTGTTCTATCACAGTAAATAGAGTTAAATGTTATGTCAAAAAAGTATTAAAGTAGTACCGCATTAAAAAGATACAAAAATAAATCGTATTGACTGTAAACATCTAATTACTGCGCTGCAATTAGATACATTAAACTATTAAAGATTGTTCGGGCTAGTAAAGTATTCATATGAAGGACGCTTTACGTCGTCAATTTGGCCTCTAAAGGTCAACATGCTCTCACGTGAAGAGGGAACGAATCCAGCTCAGGAGAGTGTCGTCAAGTTAAACAACACGAAGGTTAATACTTTAAGCAGCAATTCACATTTTTTGTTGAAGAATAACAAAGAGGATCTTGTTTCTTGAAAACAATCAGCTACATGTTAAATCTGCGTTGTTACTTTAAAAATGTTCGAGTAGTTAAACAATCATGTTGACATTTATATATATCTGTCTGTATAACCCTTACACAATACACGACTTATAATAGCCATGTCGTGTATAGCAATAGATTAGAATGCATTGCCTAATACACACAAACATGGATATATTTCTTTCAGGGTTAATGCAATTCAGATACATAGTTTAGGAATTTCAAAATATTTGATACCGAATGACCTTAACGAAATGAAATTCAACATTTAAAACCGCGTTTACAGACATGTATACTATACACGTCTAGAAAACAAGATCGCTATAAATTAATTTTAGCAGAACTTATTGCAAAGTTTTTTTTTCTTCTAGACATGTATAGTTTAGGGCCTACATGTCACAAGTGTAATAGTGGTGTTGACGTTTTGGTGTGGGTAACATTAAATGTGTTTCAACTTCAATTTTCCATTACAACGGTAATGGGTAAAATACAAATAAATTATTTCACAACATCAGATAAGGAAATGAAGTATTGTCTATCGTATTAACAAAAAGAAACGAAAAAAATCTTGATTTTTTTAGTATAGTACATTTTAAATTAATGGCGTCTAATGATATTGATTTTGATAAATGGTAGAATACAATGGATTCTTAAGAGCTAATAATTTATGCATGATATATATAATAGGCTGAACTAATTAATAAGTATTATCACTGGTATGACTTTTATTTTGTTTTAAATAAAAAGCGTCCAATCACCGTGTATTTTCAAAATAAAATTACATATTACATAACATTGTCCTTTTATATAAAAAAAACTATAATAGCGCACTAAATGACCTCGATGTTGTTACCTAAACTCTTGCAAGAAATTTGAGCAGACGGGAGAGCCGCTGCCAGCATCCTATTGTGGAGCAGACGACAAAAGTACAGCACCGACATTTCCCGCGCTCGTATTTCAAAGATAATTTCGGCCTGCTCGACTCTCAGACTTTTCACCCTTTCTACCCCCCGGAAAATCCTTCCATAACTCGCAATGATTGACCGGATACGGTTTCCTGAGCTGTCACGTGATACCCGTCCTTTCTTGTGAAACCAGTCTTAACATGGACTTTTTAAAAAAAAAAAGTCAAAACCAACGACATTTTTTTTTGACGGATAAACTAGACATTTCTGGAGCCAGGACTAACTGATTGTCGGCTGGAGGTAATACCCCTGGTTGTGAGTCGGAAAATAAACAGATTTGTCCTTGACCTACTTTTTTTTCTGACCAGACGGATATGGG